ATTTATCAATATTATGCCAGTAGGTATTCTAAAGTGTACCTGTCCGCATCTTGAACCTCATTTACGCCACTTAATTTAGCTTTTTTGTTTAAAATTTTTATTTTATACACGATTTCGTTATTCTCTAATCTTTTCCGGGTACTATACCCGAAAATGGCCGCCAGAAATTTTTTCCTGATATTCGACCCAATAACCACGCCCAATGTCGTATCCGACGTCATTTATCGTACTTTCTTCTCCCATATCACCCCATATGATATAGAAATTCATATCGGCGACGATAATTTTACAATTTATCAATATTATGCCAGTAGGTATTCTAAAGTGTACCTGTCCGCATCTTGAACCTCATTGACGCCACTTAATTTAGCTTTTTTGTTTAAAATTTTTATAAACGTTAAGAAATTATACAAGACAATTCGAAAATTTTAAATTAACAACAGTAAATGAAAATATGTATCTTCGTTAAAGTTTGTTTATAATAAAGACACGCACAATACATTGTTGCCAATAGATATGATCAATTAAACAAATTAACACTATACAAATCAGTAATATAAAACTTATAAAATTACCGTTAAATTAACTATGCTAAAAATCGATATTTCATAGTTAAGCTAAATGATTTGAACAATAGTAAAATATGAATTTGAGGGGGGAAAACTATCCGAGAAAATTGCATAGGCGTTATTATTTTATTAGCGATATTTAATACATAGGTACTATAAGAAAAACTTATAGAAATAATAAAAGTAAATCATTAAGCATAATAGTACCGTTTTACAAAGATCGCAGCTACCTAGTAAATTTGTTCAAAATGAAAAACTGTTTTGGAAAATTTAAAATAGTATTTATAGGTAATTATTATCAAGTCGGTACTGTGTATGATAAAAAATCAATATGTACACATAATAATTTATTTTAATACAGTAATATAACAACTATACCTATAGTAACTTCATTCGTAGGTGCAACTAGGGGGCTGCTGGGAAGTCTTCAGCACCCCCGAGTTCAAAATTAGTACTCCCAAAAATAACCCAATAAGCTTTGGCGTAGTATCGACTAAATACTCCATCGGTGTATTTCATAATTAATAAGCAGAACAAAATACGGTTTCCTACAGATACTGCATGTATAGATAAATTTGTGTATACAAAATTATAAATGAAAGGTGTCGTTAAACTATTGTAAGAGTCGTGTAAAGTGGATTATTGGAGCATGTTTATTCCCCTCATTGATGAGTCCGTAATTTTAGCACTCCCAAAATCGGCGGTCTTGTTGCGCCCATGTCTAAATTCAAAGAAAAACAATCAATCTTAATTCGTCCGACTCTACAAGTATAACCATACCATACCATTATAAAGCACGTATGTTTTGTAAAATAAACAAATCAACGTCGAATACATCGTGTATCCAATAAATACTGGAAAAAAAAAAAAAAGTTTCGGTGTATAGAATAATATAATGCGCGAACGGACAATCATTTGTATGAACCAATGAGGAAATAAGAAGAAAAATCTTCAAAATCCTCTACCGCCATAACCACCCGTGAATTCGATGATTTTGTTCTGTTGGAGCACCTCGAACTATAATAATATAACAATAGTGACCGCCTATTATATTGATATGTATTAGATTAAAATAATTTGTTTTCATTTTGTTTATTTCTGAGCTCCACAGAGCAGGCAGTGTGTTTGGGGCATCTCGCCGCGGCCTAGTAAAACAGTAGCGTACTATATTGTAACATTATGCTGTGTGCGACACAGTCGTGTCTGTAATCGAAAAATACAATATTATTTACCTAATAAAAATTCAAATTGAGAATTTAAAACATTTAAACGCTCTCGTTTGTGTTTCTACTGTACGCTGTTCACAAAACGTAATTTTTATGCTACTAAACAATTCGCTGAAGCTAATTATTCGGTGTGTATTATCCTAAGGCTCTAAAAAGACTAAACAATTTAAACGTTAAAAACGCACAAGTATTCTATAAACATGTACAGACCGAGCCACTCCTAAAGACGTTCGACTATTACAAACACTATCTAACTTTTTAATGTTCCGAAAAGGCAATAGATAATAATAGATGTAATATATAATAGATGCACCTATATACACCTACCCGCACATTAGTGCACTCATAACAACTAAGTACGGCAATCTATTTTATAAGCGTTGAAACTTTAAAAATGCCGTAAACGAGAGGAAAAGTGCAGTTGAATTCTCTCTCGGGTGGTAATTAATTATTTATTATTTAAAACGGTTTATCGGTAACACTAATAAGTTTTGTAATGACCTAACTATTTAGTATAGGACTCCTGCCGGGGAAAATTCGTCGTCAAAATATTAAACGTTTTATTATGAGAATCTATTATTCAAATATTTAAAGAAGATACGATTAAACAGCTAGTAACGATATTTTAACGTAAACGTAACGTGTAATGAAAAGAAAGAATTCCGAAAGAATTAATGTGTGAAAAATAAAGGTACTTGCTGTGGAAAATAAACGGTAAGCGCGATCTAGTCGATTGTAGACGGGCCACGGATTCCGGTAATGCTTTACAGAAATTCGTACAGATAGCAGCGTCAATAACTTTTCGAGAAAAAACACAACTAGAAAATCGCAAAATATTCTGGAACGTATTCTATTTCTTGAAAAAAAATATTTCCGTCTGCATTCACGATGTGTCCTATATTTGCAGATGTATACCTATAGGTACGTTATCGAGAACATTATGGCCGTTGCTATAGCCACAGAAAGCGATTTGGCGAACGGAAAATCCGACAAAACGACTATCTACACGCGTAGTATACAGGGTCCTTGTTTGCGATAAATTGGTAGTGCAGACTAAACGACCGTAATTATTAAACGGACCCGGGTTTTTCGAGCCAAAAATAATAAATACCCACAGAACTACAAAAGCACGCGATAGGTACCTGTAAAACGCAATATATTTGTCTATTTGTCTTATAGAGTACTTGTATAATTTTATTTGGAGTTGGATTTTTAATAATTTATCTATTTGTTTGACCTATTAAATTCATAACAGTATAATATTTTCATAAAACATATAATTGGGATTCAAAGCTAATTTTTGGTATTATATTATTATTATTTGTTTTAGATACAATTATAGACAAATTATGCTAAAATAATAGTTATATATACTATTTATTTTAGTACCTACCTATAAGTTACTCGTAATAGTATTATTTTTGTAAACTTTTATAGTGTGCTCGATAGAATAATAAATATTTTTTATTATAGGAAATACAAAATACAATCTCCGGAAATAGCAATTATATAAATACAGGAACAGATAAATATTCAAAATTATTCTCTTTGAATATTATCCATGGAAAACGATAAAATTGTTATAATTAATATCCAGTGAATAGGTTATTAACAGAGTTTGAAATAGTTTTGTCTCTTACAATAATTTATAGTCAGTTGATTCCTTAGAGATTTACTACAGACAAATACACTGTAAAATGGAAAAATCTCCGTCAGTTTACACTGCACTTACGAGATAAATAATATAAAATAACCACAACAAACAATAAAATTACTCAATCTGTTGAAATATGTTCATAATGTTCTTTTTTCAATCTAACAATGTTTACTTTAAAATCAAAAGGTATTAATAATTAATACATTAAACACAAGTCGGTGATACGTATGTACTTAAATACTTGAAGAAGAAACAATAATTATAAAATAGTACAATAAAAGAACACGATTCGTATCATGTGAATAAATCTAAAGTGTTAAGATTACTCAGAATCTCAAAAGAAAAAGAAAATTCTCAAACAATTAGTTGATTTATGTTTGTGAATTAATTTGATTTCTGGTTTTTATTTTTTCAGTTTATAAGTTATAACTTTAAACACTTCGAATAAAATATTTTTGCTTATAATAAATTATAAGTATATTTGTTACATATACTTACAAAACCACAACAGAATTTTAAAAAAAAAAGAATTAAAAATCAACAACAAAACAATTATCAACATTAACATATTTTTATCTACAGGATATACGGATATATGTACAAGGATATTTTATATTTTTATATCATAAGAATAATTATAAAATTTACATTATCCCGTTAGTAAAATAGTATACGAATACTAGATTTATACTTGCCTATTTAACAAGATATTTTAACTATGATAGTAAAATTAAAATTGCACAAACGAGAAAACAAATATTTTATGACTAGTAAATGAACAGTAAGAAACTAAGATGGGAGGTATGAGTTATTGAGCGTTTAAACTCTCAAGAAACCGTCTTCAATGTAGGTATTTATAAAAACTTGGAAATAAATTATAATTAAAAATCTTAAATCTTAATATTGGATCTTATTTAATTTAAAAAAAAAACTTAATTCATATAAATACCTTATGGTAAATATAATTAATAATTTAAATATCCCATCGTTAATATTTATCCAAATATAAATGAAAGAGCGTTAATTATTATACCTAAGGAGAAAAATATTTATTCAATTGTATTTTTTTTTTTACTCAAGTGCCATTTTTAAAAAACAATAACAAAACATAGAAATTGGACAAACAATTAAAACAATTATTAATTAAATTCATATAACAAATTGGGTTTCATTGGGTTGATCTTTTCTAAACGATTTTGAGCAGGTTTTATGGAAGTTTATAGATTTATTTTAATCATAAATTATAATAATTATAGAAATATAATAAAATAATAATAACTTGGTTTTAATTTAGTCGATAACATATTTATCAATTAAAGTATTTTTAAATGTATACCTAACATTTCAATTCAGAATTTTTTCGATAAACATTGTAAAACTCGTTTGGTATCAATGTAAAAAATTGGTAATTAAATATTATTAAATATTATTATTTTATAAAAAAAAAAAAAACAATGGGTAAACATTTTAGGAATAATAAAAAAAAAATGATTTCAGCCCGGTATAAATAAATAGGTATTGTATAAATATATATTTTCTAAACTACAACTAAACGTCTATTTGGAACGAAGTCTCTTGGGTAAGTCTTCTTGGTGATCTCCGTTGATGTGAAGATATCTTTGGGCGTCGCTCGAATTCGTTCCCTTCGTTTTGTCGCATAGGTCTTGAGTCCGAAAATCTAGCTGGAGGATTCAAACGCTCACTAAAATCCAAATACGTAAGTTATTAAATTTAAACCTGTAAAATGTAATAACTTAAACAATTAAACTAAAATTTATACCTAAAATCAATGCCCTCACTGTGACTAGTAAACCCTCCACTATTTTTTAACGGCCTTTTCGTGAATATTTGACTTTTTGATTTGGGCTTTCGGAGAGCGGACATCGTGGGGGGTTTTCTTACTTCTGCTACTGAGTTCTCCGACGATGAACTGGAGTCTTCGTTACTCACTTCTAATCAGAACCCAATACGAAATTATGGTTATAATAAGAACAATGTAATGATGATGGTAATTATAAAAAAAGGTGTATATTCACCTCTACTCATACGGTGTCTAAAAGAAACTAGTTCTTGGCTCGTCGATTGGTTTCGTCTTACTTCGCCGTTGTCAGAGTCACTACCATGAGTATCATACTCTGAAATAGGTAGGTGAAGTGTTAGAATCCGCTTTACTTCAGAATCTGTGCTACCTAGATTGTCTGATTCTGAAACATTTCCATAGTTTAATAATTTAAATGTTTATTCTTCAGTTAAACAACATGGAATTCCTCTAAGCTATATTAATCGAAATTCGTGTGTTTTGATTATTATATTATTTTGAATAATTTTTAATACACAAAAATTAATAGATTGATCAAAATAAATTGAATGTTAAGAAATTTGGTTCTACGATAAAAAAAAAAAACACAATATTGGTGTATAAACCAAAGAGTGAATGACAATATAAACAAAAATATAATATTTCCTATTATTATTTACTTACAAAATAAAATTTTGCCACTTTTTTTGAAAGAAAAATAATATTTATTAGATACCTATTAAACAATGGTCTAAATTAAATAATTAACAAGTAATATTTTATAAATATGAACAGTAAAAACTTTTACTAATTTTATGATAATATAAATGTTTCGGTCCTCCATTGAAAAAATTCTTGTCGCATCACTGTTTAGAATGAGGTAACCAGATTACATGAGTAAATTATAGAGATAATTTATTTGAAGAAATAAACGATATGTAAAGTGTAAGTTAATTTTAAAATATACCAATATTCATTGATTTTGGTGGACTCATTATGCAATAAACTTATAAAAATTAAATACTTAAGGCATTAGTTATTTCTTTGTTGTGAGATCAATTTTTTTTCATGTGACGATACAATAAGATAATTTAGTTTTACTCTAATCGCTTTCACTCTATTGTCAATATTCTAACAATGTCTGTCTAGACGGAATATATACTATTATAATATTTTTGACTAACCTTGACTTTCAGAATGAGGATCTCTAAGTTTTCTTCCTTTTTGACGGACTTTAGTATACTCTGGTTCTTTTCTCTAAAAAATAAAAATGTTTCACTGGAATTCAAATTTGTAATTTATAATTATTAAAAAACAGGTTTTATTTACTGGAACAAAATTATAAGCTTCAGAAGTGGACGCTTTTGGTTGGTGATATACAAACGATCCTCGGACCGAATGATATGGGCCGCTGTAAATATTACCACTGAACGTACTTTCACCTTGTGGTTGTTTGGCAAGTTCAAAAGTCGCGTACGGACAAATATCATCCATATATTCTGAAAAATCATTGTCGAAAACAGTATAAGATAATATTGTACACAGTAATCAATATCACACAGTGATATTGATGCGTATCTTATGTATATACATAAGATGCGCATTATCTCAGAGCGTATTAACTTTTTATGGAATCTATTTATGGAATTTTTAATATAGATTGCTATTCGATAATAAAAAATGAATTGTAGTTTCACATCCGAAAATAAGGGTGACAAGAAATATTCGTAATGCAACATTGTTGAGAGTAAAGTTGATATTTGTTTATTACATTTTCTAAAAAAAAAAACAAATTTTAAAATAGTTAATAATTTCCAAGATAACGAGTGTTTTACCTCGATCACCCTGTATCGGTACCAAATATTATTTTATAATACTTTAAAAAAAAATTCATACCAGTCGAATCGGTTTTAAAGGTTACAGAATCACAACTCAACGTTTGTTGCGATTGTCCCCTGACCGAATACCGTTGGTCGCGACTTCTCTGGCTTTGATCTCTGAGGGATTCGTCTTCTGAGTGCTCTGGTAAAAGTTTGATGGGAACAATTTTTTTTTTTTATAACATAATTTACGTACCTTTATATTTAGACGTTAATACTTACTCATTACTTTATAATAATATGTGAACGCTGCGATCGATGATACTACGACTAAGGCTATAATTAATGAGATCGCGGTTGTAATCGATGTAAAGACAGAGGCTTCTTCAGGCGTTATTTCGGTGTAAAAATCAAACGGCATAACGGTCGCTATATACATGAACAAAATGAATTGAAACGTCAAACTATTTATTTATTTTAAATAGGTGAATTTTAAACCGACAAATCATGGTTTTAAGATCAGAATTTTAAATCAAATCGTTCAAGAATTACCTTTTTTTTTATATCATCTATAATTATTAGGTCATTTAAAAGGCATATTTTAATCTATAAAATAATTGTATTGGTTAGAACCTAATTATGAATGTGAAGGATTACGTATTATACTATACACAAAAATAGGCCTGCTAAATTGTTACCTCCGTCAATCGTGAGTGTAGTGAAGTTGTACAACGCAAAGGCAGTCCCGATATTATTGTGAGCGACAACTTTCAATTGATATTGGGATGCTGGTTCAAGATCGCCAACCGTGTACATACGCTCTGTAGGAGCGATGTTACCATCGCATAATATCCATTCATTGGATTTCGACTGTTTCCATTCGATTGTATAGTATTGTATATCGCAACCTCCGCTACCCCATAGATCGAACCAGGCGCTCACCGTCGTACTGTTGTACGTTATTGCTTCAGACGGCGATTCGGGTGGCACGGGTACTATAACATGAAATAACATATTTTGTTTAATGTTCGTTATACGTCATATAATTATGCATTTTTTTTTTTTTGACAGGGACTGGGATCTCTGGCTTTTTGATCTGGAGGAAAAAACTTGTCAACAGACCGAAAAACGTCTCGTAGTCGTAATTTAACATAACACTGTAGTGTATACCGAGTGATTCATTTAATTGGATACACTCATTATCTCGGAATGTATTAACTTTTTTCGGAATTTGTTTTCTGAACATTTAAGAAACAACCAGCTCTACAATGTTTTTATTTTTTGTAACCCTTATTTTTGGGGGTAAAACCACTACCTACTTTTGATTTTCAAATGGCAACCTATATTAAAAATTCGATAAATAAATGGAGTATTAGCTAAAACAAATTTAAGTGTTAAAATTTCTTATTTCTATCAATCCGTTGACGAGATATTCCACTTTTAATTTTAGGTAGGAGGAGAGTAGTGCTGCATTGATAACACACCGCGCGCCGTACCACCACCCAAATGACACTCCACTGCTCTCCTCCAACCCAAACTTAAAAATGGAATATCTCGTCAAAGGATCAACAGAAAAATGTCAACACTAAAATTGATTTTAACAAACACTCTATCTATTTATGGACTTTTTAATATAAGTTGCCATTTGAAAATCAAAAGTAGGTAGTGTTTTTACCTCCAAAATAAGTGTGACAAAAACAACATAAATATAAAATTGTAGAGCACCTTGTTTCTTAAATGTTTTAGAAAACAAATTCCGGAAAAAGTTAACAATGAGTGTACCCACTTAAATGAATCATCTGGTATGTCCATTATTCATATAGAAGCACGGTCTAATTTTCGATTTTATTATTTTCCGACAAATTTTCATGTGAATTATTTGTAATACATTAAATATTTAATATTTGTAAAATGAAAAATAGTAGTGACGTAGTTGGTACAATCACCAGTTTCATCAAAAAATAATATCCATTAAACAGTCTTGCCACTTTACTTACAATATTAATAACACTTGTCACCCACACAGGAGCGTCTTACTTGAAGTTACTGGTCCTTATTGGTAGAGAAATATAGAAATTTCAAAAACTTAATCAATATAGTACGTACATGTATATTTTTCCTTTAATCCAAAAGTAGGGAAAGTGAGATAGAATGGTAAAGCTAAGGTTTAAAAAGATATAATTCATTCAAAATTAATGATTTTTATTTATAATTTGAACCGTGTACATTCCAGGATATGATTATTAACATGTTAACATGTTTTATTAGAGTAACTATTTATATACGCATAAATACAGGGAGGGGTGATCCACCTATCGCCTTCTTCTGGAACTGTAAGTGGATCCGTATAAGACATACGAGTGTGTATTAAAATTTATCAGTTTCACTCAATGACCCCGTTCTGACCTACGTTCCCTTATATACTGTAGCAAAAGTTCTATAAATCATTTTTTGATATTTTAATATTTTCTAAGACCTAACAGCCAGAGGTCGATCATATTAAATCTTTATTATTTGAATGCAGAACGAAAATGCAGAGTTCATGTCTGCCGGAATGGCGTTTAAAAAAATTATACCTGAGCCTTTGGTATACGACGTTAAAATATCGCATGGTAGACCGGTGCCGATTTTATTGTAGGCCGTAATATACAGTTGATATCTCGTGCCACAAAGTAATTTCTGTAGTACATGAAAATGAGTTTGTGAATCTATGTGGATTTCTTCCCAGTCACCGTGGTCGCGTTTGTAGTTGATGACGTATCCTGAAATTAATTAAATAATAATATTTAAAAATATAGTGTTTAATACACGTTTTTTGTAAATATTTAAACCATAGGTTATGAACTCGCCTAATATCGGAGTATCTGACTCGGCCGTGTCTATCCATTTCAGTTGTAAACTATCGGTTTCTTCCAAATGAACCGTCAACTTTGGAGGTGATGGCGGCACTGAGGAATATTTGATATAATCAGTTAAGTAATAAATATTTAATTTAAACAATAATTTGGTTGTACCTCTGACATTAACGGAATAAACGATTTCGTCTTTGCCGTGCGTATTCTCGACGGCACATGTATAATTTCCTCGGTCTGAATGTTGTACGTCGAGTATGGCTAACGATCCGTCTTTATTGATCTAAACATCAGTGTGATATTATATTGAGATGAATATCATTTGGGTAATAATTATGCGTATTATATCAAAATGCCTGTTATGTTGTAACCTGATATCTTCCACTCGAGGTGATTGATCGCCCGCCTTTGGTCCAAATCGGTTCTGGAAACGGCACGCCAACTCTTTTACAATTTAACGTCACGTTTTTTTTCCATCGCATAATCAAAACTTGGCTAAACGATATTATCTGAGCGGGAATTTTGATTGTGGGAAGAACAGTTATTATTTTTGTACTCGCGCCTTCGCCTACTTTAGTCTGGGCCTTGACCCAGAACTGATATGTGGTACTATCTAATATTCGGGAAGCTTCGAACATTTCGACGGAAGCGCCAAGCATTTTCTTGGTTGGTTTCGACTTAAAAACATAATATTACGTAGTTATGAAAATAACGTAATAAATACAAGGGAAATAGAACTTACATCTTTGTGACCGCTTAAAATCGATATGTATAAAATGTATCCAGTTAGTTTTCCGTTTGGTCGGAGAGGAGGCAGCCACGACACAATTATAGTCTTTATAGAACTTATAACTGCTTTGATGTCTGCTGGAACTGAAGGTGCTAAAACAGACACACAAACACTTTATGAAAAGAATTAGCATGAGATTTAGGATGAGCAAATTACATTTTAGTAATTAATTACAAACGATATAACTACCACGTAATTTAATTAAAAATAAAAACAAAAAACAGCTGATACTGCTGATAGATGCGCCATTGATGTAACTCATGTTGGTCGGATTTTGGAAAGCTAGAGTAAATAGAATTATCTAATTTACATCGGTACACAACGATAAATCATTACTAACAAACTATGATTCTGAAAGAAATTCGCTATATGCGAAATATGGTTACGAATTTTATCATAATTTTCGCATACAACTCACTGGTTCTTAATAAAGAACGGACATATTTACGAAAATAAAACTTTTATTATTTTAATTTTGATTTTTAGATTCGAAGTGGAGCGAAGATGCTTATAGTTTTACAAAGATGTTTAATGATTTTTTTTTTTTAACTGTGCGCAACTTTTCTACTAGAATACTTATTCCGATTTTTAAGTATACCACCTTTTTTGAAAGCAAATCGGTGTATGGTAAGTACTTTAAGGAGGTCATTTTTCGACTTTTTTTAGGAGTTTTCTCATCAAATTTGAAAAACCGGGATAAAAAATGAGAAAACCAGGGAAAACGTAGAAAAACTGGGAAAATCGGTATAACATTAAACAAATAGTATTAAAAAAAAATATAAAGCCTATTTAATTATTTTATTGTAATATGACATATATATATATATATATATTTTTGACAATATATATGTCTATTTATTGTTGCTTACAGGTGTACATTAAATTATCTATAACCAGTGGCTGCACCCGTTTCCATTATCTTAGGACATTTTTTTTTTTGTAATTTAGTTAAAAATATTCTTAGAGACTTGCAACTTGGACTGAAAACTTATATTTACCTATTCGAAACGTGGTAAAACTTTCAAAAAATTAGAGCGATTTTAAGATATTTTATTTTTGTTATTTTTGTACGTAAAATTTTTATTTGCTAGATTCTCTGTGGATTAAGTTGTTAGAGTAAAAAAGAAATGTTTGAAAATTTTTCAGAAGGTTCATTATAAGTCCTACTTTGTAAAAAAAAAAAAAAAATTAAATATAATGTAGTAATTTATTTTTAGGAATTATAATGATAAATTTTGATGAAAATTGTAAATATAGATATATATATATATGTTAGGTAAAAGTACCAATACCGGTTTCGTCAACTACTGTCGGTAAAATCTAGAATAAACAAAATTGTTTGGTCGAACCCCGAATAATTTTTGTAGTTCGGTCCTTTACAAACGAGATTTGGTAAATCTTAGGATAAACAATCAGTGTTAGTAAAAGTCCAAAAGTTTTTACCAATAATGTGATTTTTCCTCCTTGCTTTATAGTTTTATTGGTATATTATTATTATTTGTGGAGACAACATCTTTATATTATTATTATATAATACGACAAAAATATTTATTATTATTGTTACGAATTATTATACTGCGATCGACTTTGGAAATTTTCATTTCGATTTTAATATAAAGCATGATAATAAAAGGTTATACGGAACAGGTTTGATAATTGATTGATTATAAATTGAATAGGCTTATTGAAAAATCAACACTATTAATTTTATAATTGTCGCGAATAGAATATGATTTTAAATATGTTACTTAAAATACGGTTTACAAACTTTTAAATGGTGTTGTCGAAGAAAAAACGATAAAAACACTTTATACATTACTAGTGAAAAATATGATGTATTATTGAACGAAGTGAAAGAATCAAAATCGGTCAAAGTTAAAAAATCAATTCACTATCGACAATTTAAACGGTTTAATATTGTTAATATTGGCGGAGAAGAAAAACTGATTACTCTGATGAATGGTGCCTCCGAAGAAATGAGTTACTATGTTCGCTATGATGATTTGTATGAAATTATTCATGAAGTACATATTGCAGCAGGTCACGGAGGTAGAAATCGTATTGCGTATGCTGTTAATAGTAAATACAAAAATGTTAATATTGAAGCTATAAATATTTATATAAAATTATGTGAGCCATGTCAAAAAAAAACACATTATGCCCAAAAAAGGTCTAACTGATAAACCTATTATACACACCGAAATGAATTCACGCTGCCAGGTAGACTTAATTGATATGCAGGCAAATCCTGATAACAATTATAAATTTATAATGGTCTATCAAGACAACTTGATTTAATTTGTTATTTTATGACGACTTAAATTCAAACGGAGTTCAAACAAAAGAAGTTGCGTATTGCTTACTCGATATTTTTAATCTTTTCGGTACACCAAATATATTCCACTCGGACAATCGGAGAGAATTCGTAAATGCTGTTATTATAAATCTATGTAGTTTGTGGTCTGAAGTGAAAATAGTTCACAGAAAAGCTCGCCACAATCAGTTTCAAGGTTCTGTGATACTTGTTGACTGAATAAAAAAATTTTGGACTTTTACTAACATTGATTGTTTGTCCTAAGATTTATCAAATTTCGTTTGTAAAAGTCCGAACTACAAAAATCATTCAGGGTTTGACCAAACAATTTTGTGCATCCTAGGTTTTACCGGTAAATCCGGTATTCGTATTTTTACCGTAAAATATATATTTTTATATATACACGGCCTTTCAAAACACTTCGCTCCAAATCGTTTTTCGTTGCTTACGGATATGAATTAAATACCTTATCGTATCCTATCTTCTCAACTTCTCCACCTTAAAAATTGACACACCTGTCTTCAGTATCAGCACTTTTTTTGAAGTTAATACTATAATAAACTTTTAGGAATCATGGAAAATGTGCACATAATAAGTTTAGCAATATTCAAGAACAGTGCGCCGTATTACTATACAAATTTTGCTCCATTATTTTTTTATTACTCAAACTAAAAAGTAGAATGTTTTGTCAAGAGACCAACGGAAATTAAAAATTTCAACATCAAAATGTTTTTAAAAAAAAACTTTATCTATTCATGAATTTTTTTTTTAATATAGATATTTATTTGAAAATTAAATGTGGGTAGTGGATTCACTACAGTTTTTTTAGTCATTTTTTGATAATATATTTATTTTATGAAAACTTGACTAACGTGCAATTTTAAAAGCCGTATGTCGAATAAAAATAATTAATAATATATTATGTATTACTATCTTCGTCGGTCTTGCAATAGACAGGTTCACTTGGGACTCCGTCCCCTTTACTAGTATATGCCAATATCGATATGCTATAGTTCGTATATTTCAGTAAAGCTTGAATCGATGTATGTTGTACGGCGGTGATTTTCGTTTCAAACTCATTATTTTCTAGAAAATAATAATAATAAAAAATGATTAAATGGAATAATAATATTATTAAGATGTCATTTTGTTTAGATACACTTACCATACCACTCTTCAGCTGGTTGATAAGATACTTTGAAACCTATTATTTTACCATTGCGACCAGTTTGTGGTGGTAGGACCCACGTCACTTCAATACTCTGCGACGTCAATGACCTACATTCCGGCTTTTCCGGCGGCATTGTCGGTACTGTAATACGCAAAACGAGTATAATAATATACTATGTAATATCTTGTTGTGCCTAATGTGTACGTATATTCTACGGTGCTTTAAGTGAATGCTAAAAAACAGGTGGAATAGACAATAATTATTATAACCAATGAGGAAGTCTTCCTAAAAGCCAAAGAAATAAGAAGCTTACTAAAAGCGTTAAAAAGTAGAACAGCCAGGATGATAATATACACTCCGACACAATAGTTTTCTAACAAGAATAGTTGGGTGAATAGTGGAAGGAAAAAACAATAGAGCAAGACCTCCCTTGAGCTACATTACCAAGATAATTAGGGACATGAAATGCACTCGCACACCACATTGTGAGCTAAAAAGGAAGGCAGGAATGCGGGACGAATGGAGAGTTGCTGCCCACCAGCCTACGGGTTGCTAAACTTAAAAAAACAAAAATAAATTGTACGTACAATTATTAATAACGTTTGTTTTTCTGATAAATGCTTACCGCCTTCGTCAGTCTGTACCGTAATGGGCTTGGAAAACGGCCCCGGCCCTTTGCTGTTGTACGCTTGTAGCACTATCGAGTACGTTGTGTACGGCGTTAAACCGTCAATGACCAAGTCTTCGTCGTATTGCGAATTTATGTTTATCGTTTTCATGACGTAACGGTTGAGCGACGACGGTGCGGACGATTGTGCGGCGTTTTGTGCGTCATCCATTGGCAGATATCCGACGTGATATCCGATTAAAATCCCGTTACAAGCCTCCGTCGGCGGCGGCTCCCACATGATCAAAAGTTCCGTCGTGCTTTTGGCTTCGGCCCGGACATTTTGCGGCGCCATACTGGGCGCTGTAAAAGAATTGATCATTAGTGAAATACTCGCATGCAGGGGCGCATTGAGCCACCGGTGATGCGGGAGTTTTCCCGGTGAGCCGCTTCTTCAAATAACTATTTTAAAAAGTATTTTATGTCAAAATATAATCCTGAAATACTTATAAATTTTTTTCAAGTAAATTTTTTTTTACTAATGGTTACCTGAGCTGAAATAGCTATTGGTTTGTTTATGTGCATTTCTGTGCAATTATCACAGTAGTCGGCTATTTAGTTGTTTTATTTATCTATGGTACATTCATTGAACTCTATATGATAAGTTTAATCTAACCTGATATATATATATATATATAGATTACAATTTGATTTTTAGATTCTAAGTGGAGCTAATAATGGTTTTACAATGATTTGTATTTTAATTTTCTTTATCGTTGAACAACTTTTCTACAAGATATATCGCTCCGATTTACAAGTGTAGCACTTTTTCTAATGGTCATTTTTCGATTTTTCTCAGGAGTTTTCTCAATATTTTGGAAGAACCGGACCGAACTGGACCTTAGAACCGATAATATAAGGACTGCTCTATAAATAATATACCTAGTCATCATGTTCATTTTCATTCGAGAATCGTGTACGCGTATCGATAGCAGTAATTATTATTATTAACAGATTAAATTTAGATACGTGTTTTAGTATGGGCCTAAGTTACGGGCTGTAAACGAAACATATTATCGGACGTCAAAAATGGTAATAAGAACCTTCTTCTTGTGTAATTGCTTGTGACTCGTCACTAGGCTCGCTCGTGCCGATACCGTTTTCCGCCAAAACCCTGATGTGATAAGCCGTTGCTGGCGTTAATCCCTCAATGACCGTAACCGTTTGCGTACCGGGAACTATAACTTTTACCGGATCAATTGTCCACAGCGCTAAAACGATAACAATATTAGGAAGTACGCATTAGAACAAATAACCTCCAATACCGGTAGAAATACTTACATGCTACCAATTTGTATTGGACGATATAATTCAGTATGACGCTGTTTCCGTCGTACGGTTTATTCCATGTTATTTCCATTGATCTGCTTTGTTGGTTCACGATTCGTATGTCTTTCGGACTTTCCGGTGTCTCTGTTTAAACATAAAAAGGATAGTATCGGGTAGAATTGTGTATATATATTAAACGCGATAAGTTGATTTTCGAGATAATCGAAAAAAATATTATACTACAGCATACGGTACCCTGCACTACGAGCTCAACGGAATTTTCGTCTTGTCCGTAAAAATTACTTCCTGAACATTTGAAAAAACCCGAATCATGTCTGTAAACGGGAGATATGCCCAACTCTGACATAAGCCCGTTGTCTTTGGATTGTTCTCTTATGGTAAACCTGAAATCAATTATCACAGCAATACACATTAGTCTTCTTACAAATATATTTAAACGATTTAATAATCATTTTTAGTCTAGACACCGAGTAAAATTATATTATTTTATTTTACGGAACTTGTAATAAAACTTCGCGAATTATCTATGTTTTTAGCGGCTGCACAAAAGTATTTTTGTGAATCTGAAAATGAATAAAACTAATAGGTGAGAGGATTGCTGGTTTAGCTTGATGGTCCGAGGGAGAAAAGATAAAGTAGCTACTTAAGATAGAATGAGTTGGTTTAGCTTAAATTTTATTTAATATGTTAAGGAGTTTAAAAATGAGAATAATTAGCTTGATTTCATGATCATCTCAATATATTGAAAGAGTGAAGACTATTATCAATAAATATGTGGGTAATTGAAATAATTATTTTTTGTTCAGCACAAAACGTAAGTACAAAGTATAAGTTAACGCTACCACTATATATTATTTAAAGTAAATCGTATACAATAATTACAAGTGCATCATCTAATAATATTGATAGTTTAGTGGATAATATTTAAAAATCTTAAACTGATTAGTAGTAGTATTTCATTAAAAATTGTACATGAGTCTGAACTGTAACGTCAAAATAAAATATCACTTTCCTAATTTTCAGCGGTTTTATTTTTATTATTATTATTATTAATTATATGTTATATCTATAAAGTTTTACATAAGATAAAAAATAACTATAGATATATCTAATTAAAATCGTACTTAAAAATACTCATTTGAAGCTTTTTAAAATATGTATAGTATATAATATGTATTTCAGTTAGTATTTCAATATTATTACCTTCGATCCATATCTTTTAAAATTGGCATATTTGTTGATCCTTTCCACGTAATTTTTAACGGTTTATCTCCAACGGCAGTACATTGTATATGTGCATCGTTATTTATTTTAACTTGTATCTGCTTAGTCTTTTGTATAAATTTTACCGGAGCTACGGAACAAGAAATACATAATGGCTTTAAGAAAAAAAAAAAATCGATTACCTACTATTTATTTTCAACTGTACAACTTTGCTCAAACCAGGACTAATTCCGTTTTTTGCTTCACACATATACTTTCCGTCATTAGTCTTGCTAGTATGAAGAAACTCTAATGTTCCGTTCCTGAAGAAATTAACGTTGGGCTCATATAAAAAGTCCTTATATTCACCAATGGAGTCTCCTAAAACGATAAATTTAAAACATAATTCAATGTAAGTACGCAAAAATTATTATTTGTATGACTGTATACAGTGTAAAATAACAACACATTATTTTATTAAATGTTTAGTTTATTATGAAACTTCAATTGCCATTAATATTAATATTGGTGTTTTATGTGTTAGTTATTTAAAAAATAATACTATAATGCATAATTTTATCTTATGAGAAATACATTTTTTACTGTCCAATTAAAATCAGTACCTATGTATTACTTTTATATCTTGATAGAGTTTTAACTTTTTATGCTTGTAAACATTATAATTATAATTTTATAGCTCGATCAAGTTTAATAAAAACCTAATAAATTTTTTCAGATTTTTGTTAATTTACTGTTTTTGTTTTCGTCTTCGTTTAACTTAAGTATGTAATTTCACTTAAGTGCCCCCATTTATAAATTATAAAATTGTCTAGCTTCGTATATTATGTTTGTGAAAATAATAGTATACGTGGTAAACGAAAGTTAAAAATTAATTCAAAATACCGAATGATTTTTTCCAAACTACCGTCGGCGTAGGATATCCTTCCGCTTGACAATGTAACATACATGGATAGCCCATAATAACATTGATGTCTTCAGGTTCAACAGTCCATTTTGGAGGAACTAAAAACCAGTAGTTTTGTATGTAAGAAAAATAATTTAATAATTGTTAATTTATACAGTTCTAATTCTAACCATTTACTGTTAACGGGACGGTAAATTTTTCTCCTCCCGCTGCATTCGTTGCAATGCACGTATAGTTTCCGGCGTGCTCAGCTGTGATACGTTCAATAATCAATGATGACGAATATTCATCGTGATTTCTCGTTGTCGTTCCTACTCCTAAGTCATTATTTACACCATCGCCGTCTTTTTTCCACGTGAACATTACAGGAAGATCGCCTTCAACGATCTGACATGAAATCGCTGCACGCATACCTTCAGCCAAAAGATTAGTCATAGGAGGAATCGGTAAAATTTTTGGCCGAACTTAAAACAGAATCATAAATAATAAATTAAAAACATTATATATTTTAATACAACAGTTACAGTTTTATTTATGTGATTTTTTTTTTATAAATACTTAAAACTTGAATGTCTACGTCTCTTCTCGACGTTCGACCGTGATGGTTTTTCGCTTGACACGTGTAAGTACCCGCATCTATTTGTCGTTGAACTTGGTCTATTGTTAAAGTCCCATTGCTATAAACTTTTTGACGTATGTTAACCGGCAGTGTTGCTCCGTCTGGAAACGTTTTCTCGTTAAACTACATATTAATAATTAAAATATTATTCACCTTACCCCGTTCCCAATTAATTGATTCAATTGGATAACCAGCTACAGGACACTTGACTACTAGCTGTTTTCCGGCTACAACGTGCACGCTAGGCATTTCTCGTACATACGGGAAACCATAAACGTTTATCCTCGAAGAATGTGAAACTTGGGCGATTTCGTTGTGAGCGATACAAGTATACTCTCCACCGTCTTCGACTTTCAGTGAAGATATATTAACATGAGCAATAACATCGTCACGCGCCGTCACGTACTGTCCCGTCATAATTCTATTAGATTCTGGTATGGGAAATCCGTCTAAAGTCCAAGTAAATTGTGGAAGCGGATTTCCAGACGCTACACATTTTAAAGACAAAGATGGACCTGGTTGTAAGGTTTGTTCCGTGAACCAATATACGAGTTCCGGTCCGATGTCTATTTTTTCGAGATCAAAACACAATTAAATTTTATTCATTAATATTCATATCAATTGCAGGGCCGTCCTGGAAATTTGTAGAGCTCAGGGCAGAGGAAAATGTCGGGGCCTAAAATTGCATATAATTTTGTATTTTGTATTTATTCAGCGTATTTAACGGTTAGGTGTCCAAAATAGAGGGGGCCTTTAATTATCTTCAGTATTTTTTTTTGTATTTATAAAAACACAAGGAATGTGTCACCAGAGTAAAAATACGGGGCCCAGGACGTCTTAGGAACGGCCCTGATTAATTTTTCAATAGGTATACCTCCAAGAAGCAATTGGGTGTTATCATGAGCCATATCCCAATCATTTGTGCCGAAACATTGATACATTCCCTGATCGTCTTTGCTCAGGGGTGATAATGTCAACTCTTGTTTGTGAAGTGAAGATTGCACGCGTACTCTACCACTCAGTTGTATTAAAGGTTGACCATTTTTATACCACATAATTCTATTGATCGGGTGTCCATTGACCGTACACACAAACTGGACAGACTTTGTAGGATCCAGAAGTGAAGATCCTATTACTTTTTGCGGAGTTATATTAACTGAAAGAGGCTCTGGAAAAACAATCAATTTCAATCATTAACATATTTGTATATTGTACATTCAATAATATTATAAAGTCCATTTTACCAGTGACAAATACGCTATGATGAACAGTTTCTTCAGCCACGGTGTTGTTTGTTATACAAACATATTTTCCATCATCATCTAAACGGATTTTTTCGATTTTAAGTAGTCCAGGTATAGGCACTGAAAATCGCGGATCGTGCGCTAGGGGTTTTAGTATGTCTCCGTTTTCTTTGTACCATCTATAGATCGGTATGGGGAAGCCATGAGCCAAACAAGATAACGTAAGGTCATCTCCCACTTTGATGTGTTTTCTGCTATCGGTTTCGACGACGACTCTTGGCCGTTGGCTTCCGGTTGGTTCTAAAATTCCAATTTTGTTTTTGTTTAAATTCAACAAAATATACATTATTAATAATATTACCATTCACGGTAATATGCCCAGGAAAAGCACTTGTTTTGATTTCGCCGGTCAACTTGTGTACTGTTCTACATGTGTAACTCTTGTATCCGTCGCTAGAATCGACATTATTGATATATAAATCGCCATTTCCCAATACCAAATATTTTCCGCCCGAATCCACGTTCGGGTAAAAATGGATTATGTCATCCTGTATCCACGATGTGACCATCACGTAACTCGAAGCGTACGCAGAAACATGGCATCTCAACAACGCCGTATTTCCAATAGTGATGTACTCAGCATACACTTGAACTTCATAATTTTGGTTCATGACTGAAACAATTAATTATGAAGTTCAATAATATTATTTTATGATTTCAAGGTAAAAAAATAGTCATTTAATAAACATATTATACCGGCATTAACGTGAACGGCTCCGCTAACGATTTGACCGACCGCATTGCTTGCTTTGCATCTGTATTGTGCGCTATGCACATCATGCATATAAGAACTCGGACCAAATCGTAAAAATATTAAGCTACCGTTCTGGTGTACCACTCTGATTCTCGGAATGGTCATCACTCTCGTCCCGTCCTCTGTAAATATCATAGTATTATATTATATTTAGAAATAATGTTTATAGTAATAAAAACATTCACAAGTCAATAATGTTATAACCGCACCTAGATACCATTGTATTTGCGGCACAGGATTTCCGAAAGCGGTACAGTCGACTTTGGTGCCAGTGTCGTTAGAAAACTGGACGTTGAACGGAGGTACTAGACGAAATGCCGGTCCTATTAGCTCGTTGTTCGCCTGGCACACTGGAAACGAATTATTATTATTATTAAGTCTGTTTATACAACAGCGAAAATTCACGTGCACTTTAAACCTATGAGAATTTTCACTACATAAAATATTATTATAAAGTCCGCCCTTGACGAACGAACGAACCAACATTTTTAGCAGACTAAACCACCTAATGTGATTTATGGTACTATCTTTAATTAGCCGAAAGATAATGGCGAACAGAAATGGTGTTGCGTATAGATTGTAAAATGATGTTCAGACATCACTGACGTCCCAGGAAAATTGACTGCGAGTCATTTCCTGTCGACAAAACCTACAACCGTGGAAATCCGACCACAGAATATTGATTAATGTTCGAAGCAATTAACGTTTAAGTTAGTCTTGTTATCCCGTTCGGTTTTGGTCCGTCGTCCCATTAGTATATGGAAATATAATCATTTCTATATAAATTGACAAACACTATAATATATTATAATATTATTTATACTTACACGATAAAAGGATGGTGAAAATGTAGAAGCTGACACGTCGGCACAAAGTCTTCATTGTCAATCCATTCTGAAATATATGAACAGTAGAGTGTATTGTAAAACTATAATATTATACAACCCAATAATGTTTACCTCAAAGTAATAAACTACCTACGTAAAGATTTCACGATAGTAAAGTAAGTCAATTTATACATTAGACATAATATAAACAAGTAATAACCATCAAAGAATGCTAGCTGTTTTTGAGTTCAAAACATAGAAACATTCAAAACGTTAAAATTGAGATTTTTATAGTTTTTATTATACTAATTAAAAATACGTTACAATATTAATAAGAAATAATAACTGCTAAATGCTGAAAAGACACATTTTCAAATTGTTCAAGTAAGACAAAACAACTCTTTAAGCCACTGGAGTTTTATAATAAATTGTATAAAATGAAAGGGACTGTAGAAACTTAAATATGAAACACTATAATATAAGTTATAAAAATAATTTAATTTTTTTCCGAAATATTATAGAAGTATTATTATTATTTTTTTTTTTAATTTGAATATATAGGCTTATAATATTACTTGTTGATATAATTATTTTTTTCAAGCTAAAAATTCCGTTTAATAACACTAAACAAATGAATTATTTATAAACTACAAATTATTGAACTTCTCGTCAATTCCAGCTCCCCACCAGTCATTAATAACTCGATTATCTATTTGTTTTTAGTAATGACGGCTTACTAATTAAATACCTATCCAGTCTTTCTTCATCAATTATGATAATTATTGTGCTATAATATTTTTAAAAATAACCTAATTTATATAGGTAAAATACATCACTAAGTCCATTTCGTCCATGCGTATATGTATATGTTTGTAAGTTACAAACTACAAATACATATTAAAAATCAAATTTTTTTAACCATCAAAATAGATAGCAGGTAATTTGAAAAAATGAAGAAAAAAATGTACAAATGTATATTATTAATTTATAACTATTATTTTAGGTTAATTTGTAATTATTATTTTATTCAACTCGAAACAAAATTAATTACTTTTTCAACAATCGCAGAACGAATAATATAACAAATAAAAAGTTTATTCATTCAATGTAATTTAATTTGCAAACTTCATAACAAAAGAAACCTCAAAAAAAAATATTTATTTACATATATATATATATATATATATATATGATTACACAATATTCAAAATAATATATAATTAGATTGATTGATTAGAAAATGCAATTTGTAAATTAACAATCGAAAAAAATTAAAAAAAACATAATTATTCTTAAAATAATAGATAAAGTGCCTTTATTCTCAATAAGCAAAACGATTCTGAGCAGAGTTCGTTTTACATGTTTTGAAAGGCCGTAATATTTACGATTTGAAAATAATACATTTCGTAAATTTTCCCGTTTTTCCTACGTGTTTTCCCAATTATTATGGAAAGCCCTTGGGAAATCAAAAATTGACATCCATAAAGTATCACTCTAATCAAATTTTATTTTAGAAAAAATGTTACATTTGAAAATCGGAGCAAAATTTCTGGTAAAAAAGTTGTTCATAAAATAAAATAACACCATTGTAAAACCAATACATTCCTCACTCTGCTCAGAATTTAAAATTACGAAAAAACCAGAATATTTACGCACTAATAAGAGTTTCAGTTATTTATTTTTTTCAAATTTTTAATGTAGCACATCTTTTGAAAGGAAATTTAACTTTGGTGTTACTTAAGAGAGTCCATTTATTGATTTTCCCATTTGTTTTTATAATAAATAAAAAAATCCGGGGAAAAAAAATGGGAAACACGGGAAAATGTACAATAAAAAAAATATAGTTATGCTCATGTTCAATTAGTAATTAGTAAGTATATATTTTTTAAAAGTATTTTATACCGAATTAAATATATTGAATACATAATCACAGATAACTAAAAAACTCATCAATTATTTGTAACATATTAGACTTTCATATTGTCAAATATTATTAAAGAAAATATATAATGCATATGTGTAATTACACATTATTTTACTATAATATGATATAATATGTATTGTTGATAAAGCAACACTATTAACCAAAACGGGAATCGTTTTTCGTTAGCAACAGTTAATCGTTGCGTACAGTTACACATTAAAATTTCCCCTCTACATTCCCAACTTCTCACCTACAATAGTGGTCCACACATCATGTGAAGTTTGTCTTTTTTTAGAATAATCTTATACGCGCGTTTCGTAATTTAAATGACGTCGTTGAGTATTTAATCAAACTCGACACATATTTCAATTATATATTTCAATTAACATTTGCACGGGATTAGTATTTTACTTGTATTATATTGGTTTAATATTTTACATTTAATATTAATTCCGCGCTTGTTCCAATACATACGCAATGCAATTTTATTTAGAGAGTTTTACAATATTAAATTAAATCCATCAAACGATACGTCAATACATTTATTTATACTATATACGAGTATAGTTGCAAGCAATCAAACCAATAACTATTTCCTATGCTTTTGTATTGTTTTTTTTTTTTTTTTTTAATTATATAAATTGACGTTTACTATTTAAACTTTAATAATACAACCGGGAAAAAAAACGTAGATCTTTCAAAGTATTTTTCCGTTTGATTTGATTTGTTTTTTTCAAACGTCATCGTTGGAATTCAAATTATTATATAAAACGAGCGTTAGATCTTTGTGTTTAATATAAATTCTATTGTTGTATATCGATACAATACTACAATACATGGAATAAAGTTTCTCGGTCTTAATATTACTAGTTCATTAAATATTATAATATTCGCATCAGCGTGTGCTTAATCACGATTTATATTGTATTATACAAAGTCTAAAATCTAAAGAGAAAGATAGAAAGAGATAAAAAGAAAGAAAGAGAAAGAGGGAGAGAAAATGGCCAACAGGGTTCCTGTTATCAATGATATAATTTCGTTCAAACAATATTATCAAACGATCTTCTCCTTCTGTGTTACTTGTGCAATTTTCCTCTTTAAACTCGTTGTTCAATCGTCTGCCCAGTTCATCATCGTCACCAGATCTATACTTGACTAGAAAGATTAACCGTTGAAAGTACATGATAGCGATGCACCAATGTGTCAATAAGTTATAATACTTACTACGATTAATTTACAAATGTTTTAATATGTTAAATTTTTGTAAAAAATAAAAAAATTGTTAATTGAAATTCTGAGTGTAATGAAGCTATTAGTTAACACTTATATGTTTTTTTTTTCGGAAAGTAAAAATGCTAAGATTTTATACATAGTACCTGCGTTTCTGTACAAACGTATCAAAATTTTCAATAATTCACTCTCTAGGTCCATGTTTTGTATTTATTGTTATTATTATTATTTTTTTTTTTTTTTTTGATTTCTGAGTTATCTTGAAAAAAAAGAAAAAAACCAAATATCTAATACTACTCCACTCAAAATCGTTTTATTATTGCAGTGATTTATTGTTCCATACAGTCTAAAAACTAAATCGCTCTTAAAACTACCTTCTCAACTATACCCTTTATAACAGTGGATAGCCTATAACATTATTAACTTTTTAAATATAGTCGTAATATTCGAAAAAAATTCCTTTTTTAATTGTTATTTATATCATTTATGATACGTATTATGATAATACTATTTGTACGAAAAACTCAATAAGACAATATCATCCATTTACATAATTTATATGAGTTTATTAGCCACTCTCTGATATCTATTATATCAAGTTATCTAAAAATACAAATTCGAGGGTATAATATTCACCTGTGGCTGCAAAGGAAATGTTCTTTTGGAAACGGCTGAGTTAGCAATAATACCTATATGCAATCTCAAGTCTCATCCGCAGTATCTAGAGATCGTAAATAAGGATTCGAATGTCCGGCAGAAAACTGTACGTTTGCATGGTGTGTCCGGTGACAATGAATTTGTTACACTGACAACTCTAGCTGTCGCCGGAAAAGTTATATCGATGGAAACTTCCTATCCGTATCGAAATGAGAATCTCCCGACGAAGAGTGGGGTTCCCTATAGGTCAGTTTGTATTGTAAGGGACAGTAATAAATCAAGCATAAAAATATATTTTCGAGCTGTGAAAAGACCCGAAGCCGGAGGGCTCTAATCGTAGACGATATCGTTTCATTTCGATCAGTTTTTCATGCAAATTGCTGGGTGTATTATAATAAACAATTATCACGTTCATAAAACAATTCTGAATGAAATTCGAATTCGAACATCGCATTATGGTTTTTTAGTTTTTAAACCTACTGTAAAATCGACATATTGGGCGGAAAATGATATTAGTTCCACTAATAGAATTTAAAATCCAATAAAACGACATTGTCACTAAGTCTTTTTATGATCATAAATATATAGATACTAATAAAATTTAAAATATGTCAATTCTTAAAAATTAATATTTATTATTCGGGAAACAAAAAATATTTTCTGTTAGTTAAATTTTTAATATCACAAAATTATATTGATGACATTCCTTTTGTGAATTCTAATCCATATAATATATAAACATTTTTATGGCGATCATTTAACAAAACTTAGTCGTAAGAATTTTTCAATAAAAATTGTCGGAAAATATTATCATGAACTGGAGCAAGGTTTATAAACTAACTTTTAGGTATATATATAAATACAACATTCTGTGTTTATCAAGTATAAAATATGTTATATGCATTTGAGTTCTTAATATATATATATATATTTTATTGCAGGATTACATATTGAAGAGTATTGAACTATACATATATAGGTATCCGGTATACATTTCTTAAATATTTTAAAGTATACCAACTTAATAAAACCTCGAAGTTTTTGAAAAAAAACTTTTATAACACTAAAAGTTAATAAAAAAAACTGACCTATATCAAAAAATAAATATCAAAAAAAAATTCTAAAAATAAATTATTAACATATCAAGATTATTTAAAATTTTAAAATATCGATATTTATATACAATTATACATGTGCATTGTATACGTCGTCGGACTGGCACACCAAAGGCCCCTGAAATATTT